CCTCTCTCCCTGGATGTACTTGGATGATTTCTCTTCTTATTCTAAGGGTACTGTTCAAAGGTGCCAGGTAACAAAGAATATTGGGGTCCGGCCCCTCTATAGTCTTTTCCCAGAGTTCCAGAAGAAATGCTACCAGTGACAAATTAATTAATCTGAGGGATTCTCAAATCTATATATACAAAACTCGTTAGTCCATTCACTTCATTCTTCTCAGTCAGTTCTTTCTCCACACAGCTTCTTTTCTGCTCTCATACTTAGCTCCCATTTTGCCTGATTCTCTCTACATTTTTCTGCTCTTAATTCTCCCTCTTTAGTTCTTTCCATCTTAATTCTACCCCATCTAGTTCTTCTTCCCCATCTAGTTCTTCCCATCTTGGTTCTTTCCCATGTCATTCTTCCTGTTGTAATTCTTCCTCATCTTAATTCTTCTTCCTATTTCTCCAATCCAGTTCTCTCAGGGCACTGAGGTTTACAGTAATATACCCATGCAATCAGCAATGCTCTGGCCAAAGCAAGGTCACACAGCTTGAATTCTTTTAGGGTCAAACAGAGAGGCAATAAGATCCACACAAAGAGCAGTCATTGTCAGCCATCATTTACAACCCACAAGGGAAGTGACTAATGGGTCATAGAATCAACTGAGGGCTAAATTCAGTTGATTGATCTAAAAAAGGGAATTTATGTATTCAAACTATATTCTTGGAAGTGGTTGGTTAAAATGTTAAGAGCCTATAATTTGCTAAGTCAAAGGTGAATATAAAACTGCCTTATTTTCCTTTGGAACCATGTCTCTCTCAGCCTAATCTCGGCTGTTCCATTTTCTGGCAGGGCAGGAGTAGCTAGGCAGCCTGTGTCACAGCTTGATGTACCTGGTATGTAAAAGCCCTTTTGTTCTGAGTTAGTTGTTAAAAGGGAAGTCTAGAGCTACCACTAGGGCTTTGGGAAAAAAGGAGGATTTAAGCTTAATTTGCACAAGAAACAAGGCTTTGTACGTAACACCCACCTGGCCTTGGCAGTTGTCTCATTATGGATATTTACCTTATTTCAGGAGGCTAGTAGGTGGCCAGGATGCTTATCTATCTGCAGTTTGTCCTTGGATGTTTGAGAGGTATCTCAGATAAAATGCTTTTGTCCTTAGATGGCCATGGCCCTGGATACTTGCTAAAGGAGATAATTGCAGAAGGCAGATTATCTGATTCTAATGCTAGAAAGGGGAAACAAAAGCCTGGAAAAAGGAAGTCTTGCTGGTGTGACTGTTGTCAACACAGTTGGGGGAAGTTATCCAAACACCTTAATTGTATAGGGAAAAACTGTGCCCAATGAGTGATAAATCACACTGTTAGAAGTTCTTAGAATCAAATGGGAAAGCTGTAATAGCACACATGAAATTCATAGCAAGAAACAGCTAATATTCAAAAGCCAGTATCACCAAGACTCCTTAAGTCTTGGCTTTATCCTCTGGAAAGGCTCTTGGCTTCTTCCAGGTAGAGCTTTGTCATAGCCAGCCAAATTCCTACTTCATATTTCTGCACCCCACAGCAGTTCTCTGTTTCTATTTTGTTGATTTGAGCCCTCAGTTTGATTTTTTTTTCATCTTGGGTGTGCTTTACTTCTTTTTGTTCTAGAGTTTTCAGGTATGCTACTAAGTCGCTAGAATGAGATCTCTCCAATTTTGCTGTGTAGATACTTAATGCTATGAACTTTCCTCTTAGCATGACTTTCATTGTCCCGTAAGTTTGGGTATGCTGTGTATTCATTTCATTGAATTCTAGAAAGTCTTTTATTTATGCCTTTATTTCTGTCTCGACCCATTTCTCATTCAATGGAGAGTTGTTCAGTTTCCATGAGTTTATATGATTTCTGTTGTTTCTTTTACTGAAATCCAGGTTTTCCCTGGTGGTCTGATAGGATTCAGGGAACCATTTCAATTTTTTGTATCTGTTCGGACTTGCTTTGTGTTCTAGAATGTGGTTAGTTTTGGAGGTTCCATGAGATGCTGAGAAGAAGATATATTCTTTGGTGTTTTGGTGAAATGTACTGTAAATATCTGTTAGATTCATTTGGTTTATTCATCTGTTAGATACTTGAGTGCCTTTGTATTGGGGGCATAGATGTTAAGAATTGAAATGTCATTTGGTTGAATTTTTCCTTGGATAAGTATGTAGTGTCCTTCCCTATCTCTTTTGACTAGTTTTGGTTTGAAGTCTATTTTGTTAGATATAAAATGGTGATGCCAGCTTGCTTCTTAGTATATCTTTTTCCAATCCTTTGCCTTGAGGTAATGTCTATCCTTGATGTTGAGGTGTGTTTCTTGGATACAGCAGAAAGATGGATCATGTTTTCATATCCATTCTGTTAGTCTGTGTCTTTTTATTGGGCAATTGAGAACACTGATATTGAGAGATATCAAAGACCAATTATTGTTGATTCCTGTATTTTTTTTCTTGATGCTTTTATTGTTGGAGGTGGTGTGTGTGTATGTGTGTATATGTGCACCTGTCTTCACATCCATTTTTTAGTCTGTGTCTTTTTATTGGGCAATTGAGACCGTTGATATTAAGAGATATCAAAGACCAATTCTTGTTTATTCCTGTCTTTTTTTTCTTGATGCTTTTATTGTTGGTAGTGGTGGTGAAGGAGGTGGTGTGTGTGTGTGTGTGTGTGTGTGTGTGTGTGTGTGTGTGTGTGTGTGTGTGTGTTTGGGTCTTTGGGTTTTGCTGGTGTGAGATTATTTATTTCCTGTGTTTTCATGGGTGTAGTTAACCTCCTTAGGTTGGAGTTTTCCTTCTAGAACCTTCTGTAAGGGCTGAATTTGTAGATAGATATTGTTTAAATTTGACTTTATCATGGCATATCTTTTTCCTTCTATGGTGATTGAAAGTTTTGCTGGGTATAGTAGTCTGGTCTGGCATCTGTGGTCTCTTAGAATCTGCTGCACATCTGTCCAGGGCTTTCTGACTTTTACTCTCCATTGAAAAGTCAGGTGTATTTCTAATAGCTCTACTTTTAAATATTTCTTAGTCTTTTTCCCTTGCAGCTTTCTTTGTTCTGTATGTTTATTGGTTTGATTATTATGTGGCAAGGGGACTTTCTATTCTGGTCCAATCAATTTGGTGTTTTGTATGCTTCTTGAACCTTTGTAGGCATCTCCTTCATTAGGTTAGGAAATTTTTCTTCTATGATTTTGTGAAAAATATTTTGAGGTCTTTGAGCTGCCTTTCTTCTCCTTACTCTATTCCTGTTATTCTTTCTTTCTTTCTTCCTTTCTTTCTTTCTTTCCTTCTTCCTTCCTTTCTTTCTTTCCCTCTTTCTTTCTTTCTTCCTTCCTTTTGGTGGGTGGTTTTTCTAGACAGGGTATCTTTGTATAGTTCTGACTGTCCTGGAACCAGCTCTGTAGACCAGGCTGGCCTTGAACTCACAGAGTTCCTTCCAGGTGTTAGGATTAAAAGATTGTGCCACCATCACCCAGCCATGTTTGATCTTTTCATAGTGTTTCAAATTTCCTGGATGCTTTGTGTTAGGTTTTGTTGTTTTTGTTTTTGTTTTTTAGATTTAACATTTTTTGACCAATATGTACATTATTTCTATCATATCTTCAGTGTCTAAGATCCTCTCTTCCATCTCTTGCGTTCTGTTAGTGAAGCTTGCCTCTGTAGTTCATGTTCTAATTCTTAAAATTTTCATTTCTAGAATTCCCTCAGTTTGTGTTGGGGTTTTGTGGTTATTGTTGTTATTTTTTTTTATTGCTCCTATTTTCATTTTCAGGTGTGGAACAGTTTTATTCATTTCCTTCCACTGTTTGTTTGTTTCTTCTTGAATTACTTTAGAAGATTCATTCATTTCCTCCAATTGTTTGTGATTTCCTAGATTTCTGTAAGGGATGTATTCATCTCCTCCTTCAGGAACTCTATCATCTTCATATAATTGGTTTTAAGGCCTTTTTCTTTTGCTTCAGCTATGAGGAAATATTCATGGCTTACTGTGGTAGGATAGCTGGGCTCTAGTGCAGATGTATTGCCCTGGCTATTACTGGTTGTGTTCTTATGCTAGCATCTTGGCATCTGGGTTTGGGGTGATTATAGGTATAGGTGCTGATTTCTGGGTTTATCTTTATTGGGTAGGTGTTTTGTTCTGTGGTTTCTGTTTCCTCTCTGGATTTTTAGAGAGTGTGATGGCTGTGTATTGCCTGTTTTACTGGCCCGCTCAGCTGGTGTGTTCACAAGGAATGGCTGCTGGTGCTGGAGGCTGGGATGCAGTGAGGAGTGGGGGAAGGGAAGCCAGGAAGGAATGGTCTGTGGGGTCCACAGAAGATGTGGGCTGAGGGGAAGGGGGGCTGCAGCTGGTGTTCTGTTGAAGGACTAGGGAAGAGACTGAGGGATTGAGTCTGGGGGAACAGAGAGAGCTGAGAAGGTCTGTGGGCAGCCTACCTGGTTTTCTGGGCTATTAATGTGCACATGAATTGGGTAAGCTTATAGTAACCTTCCTGTAGAACAACAATTCTACTATGTAATGAATGTCCTGGGGAAAGCAAGCCTTCAGGCTTTGGCGTAAGTAGGATGTAGATTCAAGCTTGGCTTGTGGATTTAAGGACTGGCTTTATGTGAATTTCTGGCTGATTGAATTTATATGAGTCTCTTAATGTCTCACTCTATTGCCTCATTTTTCAAGGGAGGATATTGAAACTGCTGAGAGGCATTTGAGGGGTTTCTAAATTGAATGTACAATGAGTTTGATATTAAGTCACTATGTTTTCCCTGCCTACTCTTTCTATGATTATTATGACCATAAATTTTTTTTTATGTTTTTTTTTTTTTTTTGGTTTTTCGAGACAAGGTTTCTCTGTGCAGCTTTGCATCTTTCCTGAAACTCACTTTGGAGACCAGGCTGGCCTCGAACTCACAGAGATCAGCCTGGCTCTGCCTCCCGAGTGCTGGGATTAAAGGTGTGCGCCACCACCGCCCGGCATGACCATAAATTTTAAAATGCACTGTATGTCTTAGAATTCCAGAACTTCTGTCCTGGCTGAAACAGTTTCAAATAAAATTGCATAATCCCCCGACGGTCCACTACCCACCCAATCAAGGACAGATGGATCTCTGCATCACATCTGGCTGCCAGGATGGTCTCTGTAAGGTAAGAATGGAAGAGAAGGAAGGTTTTGTATAGAATCAAGCACACTCCTAAATGTGGTCATCTCCCACACACTATAAGGGGATCATGTTTTGTGGGCTACTAGGAAGCCTTTTTCTCTTCATCTAGGATAATAAACAGGAAATTCAAAGTCAAAAGACAGGATGGGGGAAGACTGATGGTACATAAAAGCCAGGCACAAGTGCTTTGGGTTGATCAATTGATATTAGAAACCAAAATAACCTGTTCTTTTTGTGTTTAGAAAAAGAAAAAGAATCAGCTACTGTGTAGATTTTTGCCGGAGGAGAAACATTCCTAAGAAACACTTAGGAATTCTCTCAAAGAAATGACTTTCAAGCATATTGTGACCTTTCCTTGTGGAAAGAGACAGAAAGGTGTTTCTTCATTATCTGTTACAATTCCAGTCATATCAAAACAGGAAGTTAGTATAAGTGGCCTTATTATGGAGACCATAGCAACAATATTTGTCCCATGTGTCCCCTGGTTGCTGGTCTGTCCTTGTATTTGAATCCTTTTTTTTTTTTTTTTTAAAGCAAATTAACCTCGTTTCTACCGGGATAGGTTAAGAATAGATTTTTTTTTTTTAATTTCTCTTAAAGCTATTTTATTTCTTAATGTATTCTGAGAATTTTATAAATGAATACAATGATTATGATCATTTCTACCCCATATTTCCTCCCTCCAAGTCTCTTGAACCCACAAACATGTCTTCCTCCCAAATTCACAGTCTCTTCCTTTTTTTTTTTTAATAACTGGCTAAGTCCAGTTAACGCTTTCTATATATGTGTGGGTGTGGCACCAGCCACTGGAGCGGGGGCCACCTACCAGCGGCCACATGTGCCAGAAGGATGATCCTCTGTCCCCGGCAGCTGCCAACTGCCACTAGCTCTTCTGTTAGGGGTGAGCCTATGGGACTTCCTCCCCCTTCTAATCTCCATTCTCTAATCAGTGCCAGAGGTGAAGAACATCTCCCCTTTCAGTTGGGACATGTGGTGTCTGTAGGCCCCCTAACCGTGGGAAATGTACATGATAAGCTGTTCCTTTCCTTTTCCATCAAGGCTCACGTCAGTCATTGAGCTGGTTTGCTTGGTGACGGGATGTCTTGGGAAGGCCTGGTCCATTAGGAACGTTGGGGAGGAGTATGCTTTCTATAAGCTGTCCAAAGCTCAGCAAGAAAAAGATAAACGAAGCACCAGGCCACATCAGAGAACAAAAGCTAAACCCTCAGGCTCGGTTGGAAATGGCCCTATTTTTATTGCAATATATAGGCTATTAAACTGACAGGAAGAAAGACTTGAGGCAGGGACTGTGTAATACAGCATAAGGTAGGGAGGGATTGTTCTGTGGCTTGTGTATGACTGAGTCATGATAGACCCACACATTTGGACTGGAAACATTTCTGCCTGCAGCAAAGGACCTCAGGAGTCTTCACACAGTCCACACCACCGAACCTTGTCACACTTAACTGCTAAATACTGTTGAACAGCACTGACCACTCCATCCTTTTTTGTCATGCCACCTCTCTCAGCCTGTGGCTCTCCTCCATCAGACTTGTGTGGCCTCCTTTGCATTATCCTCCTTGGCTTAGCTCTGGAGTCACAGCTCAGTCCTTGAGTATATCTGCATGCTGCATCTGAGTACCTTTGCTCATACCCAGGTGATGAAGCACATGCCCACCATTCCCATGCGCTTTCCAAATGCTTTGTCCGTTTGTCTACCCACTACTACAACAGGATGTTTAAGGAAAAAAACAAAAAACTAAACTGAATGACTCCTCTCAATCAGATGCGGGCTACTTTTTGGCCCTGTGTTTAAGTGATTGACACTAAAATTCTTCAGCTCTTCCTCCTTAGTCCCTTATAGTCCATAAGCATCTCCATTGCTTTTTATTTCCTCAGTGCCTCTCAGGCCTTCCCTACAGTGCTTCCTCTCTAGCTCAGACTACCTGTGTCTACCCTTGGGACCGTATCAATAACTTCCCAAACAGTCCTCCAGACTTCCACCTGCTTCTCCCTCTTCTCTTACTATTTTATACTGTAGTTAGAAGAATCTTCCTAAACTGCATGTCTGATAACGTGGCTCCTCTTTCCCTTCTAAAGTCCTTAATCACCTCCTGTGGCCTGAATGATTACGTGGGGTAGTCTCTTCTTGCCCACACCCACCTACTCTCTCTCTTCACCCTCTTCACACTTCACCTCAAGTCCCAGAAGCCTCCCAGTTTATGGTTTACCAAAAGGTACCGATTGCCCTTGGTTCCTACATACACCAGGACATCACCTCCTCGATGAAGTCTTACCTAAGTTCTCTGAGTGTCAGCGTCCTGCAATGAGAGGTCCACACAGATTTGGCCTCTCTATTGAGATAATTAAATCTAATCAGTGTCTAGCCCTCCCAGAGGGATCAGCAACCTCATGAGAGTAGGAACCTGGTCAGTTTGCCAAGGATTTTTATCTCCAGTCCTCTTCCCTGGCCTGATTCATAGTCGATATCTAACACATTTTCCAAAAAGCAATAAAAGGGACAGATGGATTTTAGGAGACAAACCAGTTATGTTCTTTTTCATTTCACCCTGCAGCAGGGGTCAACAAACTGCTGGATAGCAAAACCCAGACCATTAGCTAAGTTGGTAAATAAAGTTTTATTGGCACTCAGATGCTCTCAGTTACTACACATTGCCTGTGACTGCTCTCTCGCTATAGAGGCAGAGCTGAGCAGCTGCAACGGAAACACTGTGGCTCACAGAGCAGTTATTGCCTAGCCCTTACAGGAAAGTTTCCAACTCCCCCACTAGATCCTGTGAGCACGATGTTCTCAGAATGGGAGCGATTCTTTCCTCGCTAACCTACGCTTCTTTTGTCAGGTGTTTGAAATGCTCATCAATCCTGGAGACACTGTCCTCGTAAACGAACCTTTGTTTACAGGAACCCTTTTTGCTGTAAGTACATATTTTCACAAAACAGCAAGTCTCTTCCAGCCCTTTAGAACATCTGTCACCTCAAAGACCTTTTTAAGAGAAGAGTTCTTCCTTTGCAACCAAGCTTAATAGTGTCACGTGTTTCAAACTTGTGTGGTTTATGACCATCTGAGCAGCCATTTGGTCCCCAACCTGTCTCTCACAGTAAAGTCACTGTCATTACATTTTAACGTGATGCTTGATTGTGTGTGACACTTGAATTCTGAGTGTGTGATATGTTATTAATCATATTAACATCAAAACACTAAGGTCAAAGCTGCTGTTCTAAAAAAGATAATGGTGTGTTTTTAAAAAGGCAGTTTAGGGGACTGGGGAGGCATTTCAGGGATTAAAATGTTGGCTCATGCAAGGAGAGGATAAGAGTTCAGATGCCCAGAATCCAAATAAATTCTGGTGGGAGTGAGATCTATCTATAATTCCAGACTCAGAAGGCAAAGCCTGGGAATCCCCAGAGCCAGCTGGCTACCTAACTAGCTATGTGTCGGGATTCTGGATTGAATGGAGAGAGCCTGACTTAATGAACAAAGTGGAAGATCAATAGAGGATGATTTCCCAACATCAACCTTGGGTCTATGCATGCAACACACACACACACACACACACACACACACACACACATACATATACATACATACACACCCATACACACACATATATACACATACATACATACATACACACACACACACACATACATATACATACATACACACCCATACACACACATATATACACATACATACATACACACACACACACACACACACACACACACACACACACACACAGGAAAGTAGACCAAGAGAAAAGGCATTCTGTATTAATTTGCTTTTAGAGACTTTGGTTTCAGTGAAGTTTTCTGGAATCCTGTGAATATTTTTAGTTATTTACTCTCAACAGCAATGAACTACTACCACCATATGGCCATAAGTTCAAGGAGTCAGAGGAAAGTGTGTTCCAATTCCTTGGCACCAAGCAGAAATGATCAATTAGTGTTACAGGAAAAACAGTTATATCTACAACACCATGGTATGTTTTGAAACATCCAGGATAGGAGTCATGGGGAAGGCAAAGGGGGGTTGAGGGGTAGGTAAAAGTTTTAGTTTAAAAAGAAAGTTTAAGTAAATGTAATTATTTTGACTAAGTATATTGAATTTGACCTGGGTGGTTTTGAATCATATTGTTAACTTAAGCTGTGGTTGAGTTTCAGACAAAAGTGTCTGTGGTTATGTATGAGTGAGTGTGCTGTGAAGTCGTCTGTGCTTTGTGGGACTTAATGACTTCAAATACTGTATTGTACAAAAGAGAGATGTTACCTTCCTATTTGTATGTGTATGATATACCTTCATATTTGAAATGATATATTCTGTAAAGTGCACTTGCATTTCCAAACCAGATTGGATTTTGTACTGTTTTTCCTTGAATTCACACCAATATGAGGATATAAACAAACAAAATACAGTATCTGTCCACTACAAATTATAATTAACATCTTCATCTGTGACCCAGAGGCTCCTAAAAGGTGTATGAGACATACTGAGTGTGCCCCCATTTCTTCTTTAAAACGGAAAGCAGTATGTCCTGAAATTACACTGTATAGAAACCATGTCCAATTTTTTAATGTTTTACATCAAATGTGACTTAATTTACAACAACCTGCTTTTTCATTGCCAAGTGCCTAAGTACAGCCGTGTTACATGTCAGTTTACTATAACTGTAAACAAATAGGGTACAATTGGGAGTTTCTGCTCCAGTGTTAAGGTCGTGAGGCTGCAACATGCAGGAAGAGGGGAGGATCTGCCTCACCGCTGAGGTTGGTTCAGGGCATCCATTTTAGGATGGCCAGGTCTACAAACTGGAGCACCAGCAGGGAAGTGCAACTGGAACTAACGGAGAATTTAAAACTGTCCAGTGATATAAGGAATGGTTCTGGGAACTGTGGCAGTTTTCCCCCTCAAAGAAGCACAGGAATTATCCTCATCATGTGGAATAATGAAATCTACTTGTCCATGCTGTTAGGGTGGTAGAACTGAAAACTGAAAATAGATTCTTTTCTCATCCAATATATCTTGATTATAGTTTCCCCTCCCTCTTCTCTTCCCAGTTTCTTCCCATCTCCCCTCTCCTACAAATCCACCCTCTGTCTCTCATTAGAAAAGAATTCTAAGAGATAATCAAACATGATGAAATAATGCATAATAAAATGAGGCAAAAAACTTTCCTGTCGAAGTTGAACACAGGAACTCAACAGAAAAGAGTGCCAAGAGCAGGCACAAGAGTCAAAGATTCACTGTCTGCAGTCAGGAATCCCATAAAAATACGAAGCTAGTAGCTATAACACTTACTCAGAAGAACCGATATAGACCCATGCAGGTCCTGTGCTTGCTGCCTCAGTCTCTGACCTCACATGTGCTGTGGTGCTAGATTGTGTACCCCAATATGTTGTATACCCTAGTACACTTATCTGGGGATTAGAGGACAGCGCCAGCCACTAGATTAGACATAGAGACAAGGCAGTGGTGGCACACACCGCCTTTGATCTTAGCATTCAGAAGGCAGAGATTCATCTGGATCTCTGTGAGTTCAAGGCCACACTGGGAACAGTGCCAGAAGTGGTGGCACGTGTCTTTAATCCTAGCACTAGTTAACCGTAGAGGTCTGGGGGTCTGTACAGACCGACAGGAAGTGGTAGAGCTGGGTGAAAAGAGGAAGTGATGTAGCTGAGTGGAGAGAGGAAGTAAGATGGCAGGGCACAGAAAGGAATGTAAGGCATGAGTATACAGGAAGTGGCTCTCTTGGGCTGAGGATTTCCTATCGATAAAAACTTGTGGCTGGCTTATTCTATTCCTCTGATCTTTCAGCTTTCACCCCAATGTCTGGCTCCAGGTTTTTTTGTTTTTTGTTTTTTTCTGTTTTTTTTTTTTTTATTAATAAGACTGTTTAGCAATTTGTGTTACAATGTGCCTTGCTTAGTTGGTTCAGAGCGCCTTGTTCTCCTGGTATCCTCCACTCCCTCTGACTCTTACCATTTTTCTACCTCCTCTTCCACAGTCTTTACTGAGCTCTGAGGGGAAGGATTTGATGGAAACCTCCAATTTAGACTCTCTCTCCACATAATGTCTGACTGTGGGTCTCTGCATCTGTGAAGGAAACTCTTTTTACTTATAATAAGAACTTCCTAATCATCAGTCTTACCAATCTGCCTAGAGAGACATAATGGCTAGTGTTGGTTGTCAGCCTGATTAAGCTGAGAATTCTCTCTCTCTCTCTCTCTCTCTCTCTCTCTCTCTCTCTCTCTCTCTCTCTCTCTGTGTGTGTGTGTGTGTGTGTGTGTGTGTGTGTGTGTGTGTGTACCTCTTCCCCTCTCTCCCCCTACTCCTTACCTCTACCCCTTCCCCTCACCCTCTCTCTCTTTTCCTGACCATGATGTGAGCTATATGCTCTCCTGGTCTCCAGGACTGAAATCTTGGAAGCCATAAGCCTATATAAATCTTTCCTTCCTTGAGCAGTTTTGTCTGGATACTTTGTCACAGCATTGCAGAATGCATATGATGTTGCCCATAATCACCCCTAGGTACTGATGAACATGTTCTATCTCTTGTAAGATAATTCTGTCAGAGGAGGCACGTCTCAAGCACTGGCAGCTAGCTATCAAGCTGTATTTCTCTCATACTGCACACCCAGCCCAAGGCTACTGCATCTCACTCCCTGGCATCTTCCCTCCAAGCCCCAACCTCACAGAAGCACCCGCGGTTTGGCAGGTTGCCAGTCTTGGAGCAAATGGAAAAACACATAGACAACCGAGAGCTGGTGTTTTAAAGTTTCTGCTTAGGAAAAAAGAGCACATTGATTGCTGATCACCTTTTGTGAACCAGAATAAGACACCCATGACCAAGCATAATACAGATGAGACTGTGACATGCAAGCCTTCCCATGGGAATAGACAGGAGCTGTTGCTAGCCTCAGAGGAACGATAGGATTACATTATACAGCTCAACCCTCTGGAGCTTGGAGCTGAGTACAGTTTACATATCTAAGGGCATGGACAGTGCTGTTCTTGTCAGGTTTTTAAAAAGAAAATGATGCTTGCATTTAGCAGTCATGCTGCATTCTTAGGCTTTCTCTTGTCCTCCGCAGATGAAACCTTTGGGTGGCAACATTATTAATGTCCCCAGTGATGAGCATGGGATTATTCCAAAGGATCTCAAAAGAATACTTTCCCAGTGGAAACCAGAAGATTCCAAAGATCCTATGAAAAAGACTCCAAAATTTCTCTATACCGTCCCAAATGGCAACAACCCTACAGGCTACTCGTTGACAGTTGACCGCAAGAAGGAAATCTATGAGGTATTTACAAGAGGGTGACAAGGATGTGTTCCAGCTTCTTGTTTATCTTTGGGGAGAGTCTTCAAGTTGCTCTTCTTATAATCCCCTTGTTTTCAGGGAAGATAGCTTTTAATAAAAGGGACTCCATCTATGCCGAGATTCCTACTAAAGTGATACACAAAAATTGCCACATCTTTTGTTTCTGAATTTACTTATACTTAACTGGCATTTTAGTACATGAAAAATGGCATTCTTGACCACCTGTTATGAGAACACATTTAGTTTTCATTACTGGATGTTTGTGTTTGCCCTGTATTTTAGACTCACTGGATCTATTTGCTACTCATTGTCATTCCGGGCTACAAAGAATTTTTTGAAAAATGATAGGGGGATCTTGTTTCTAAAATCTCTGTAGGTATCTATGCTGCCTTGTATTTTTGCCATTTTTTAATATCAAGCATATACAGAGCTGTACAAAAATCTGAAAAAAAATAAGATAAAAAGCCTTCTGTGAAGTCTTGCTGTTCTACCTGAGTTCCTAACCTTTCCCTACAAATTGCCTTAAAAATAAATGTTAAGGCCCATTTAACTACATTTAACAGAACCTAATTGTGTGCAGTGGAATCCCAGCCGGATTTCAACCAGTGCCTTTTACCTGGAAAAAAAAAAAAACAAAGGTTCAAGACATTGCTTTGATATTTATATTCTATTTTATCTCCCCTGGGATCTCTCCTGAGCTGTACTATCTACATATTCCTCTATGATAGCATTATACAGTTCCATGGTTATGAATTTCATTTTGCATAAGGTGATTTCCCTCTCGCTCAGCTCCATCTCTTCCCTGAACTCCAACTTGTGTATCATTGTGATATCTCTGTTGATGACCAAGCATAACCTGGCCCAAAGAGAACTCCTAGCTTTTCCCGAGCCCCAACCCTAAACCTCTCATGTACTACCAGCCCCTTCATGCTCTCCAGCCTCATTAATAATGTCCATAAACAATTACCTCATTTCTCTTTTTCTCTCTCTTCTCCCTTCTTGTATCCAATTCATCCTGTGGACTCCGCCACCAAGATCCTCTAAGTTGGTCCCTTTTCTCCACCGCTAATCCTACCGCCACTTCCGAAGCCACTGTCTGTCCACACTGTATGGCAGCAGGACATCATCACTCACCCTGGTGCATTTGATTCAAAGTGTCTAACTGGTCACTGTTTGCATGGCAACCAGTCCCAGCCCCTGCTGTATGGTAAATGAAAAGTTGGCCTGTGGCTTTCGAAATTCTAAAAGTTAAATAATTTTGTTACAAGTTAGTAAAGCTGTGTGATAGCATTACTCGGTTCTCAATCTCTCTTTCTCTCTACACCTCAGCTGCACCCCATATACCAAAGCCATACTGTCCTCTTCTGTCTTTTAATCACCCCAAGTTTTTGTTTACTCCACCCCTCAGTATAGAATCCTCTTCCTTAAATTTGCATAACTAATTTATTCTGATCATCTTGAGTTCTAATGTTACCTTGTCAGGAAGAACTCCCCAGAGGTTTGACCAGAGTAATTTTCTGTCTTAGTTGGGGTTACTCTTTGCTGTGATGAAACACCATGACCAAAGCAATTTGTAGAGGAAAGGGTTTATTTGGCTTATGCTTCCATATCACAGTTCTTCATCAAAAGGAAGTCAGGACAGGAACTCAAGCAGAGCAGGAACCTGAAGGCAGGAGCTGATGCAGAGGCCATGGAGGGATGCTGCTTACTGACTTGATCCACATGGCTTACTCAGCCTGTTTTCTTAAAGAACCCAGGACCACCAGCCCAGGGATGGAACCACCCACAATGGACTGGGTCCTCCCCCATCAATAACTAATAAAGAAAATGCCTTACACCTGGATCTCGTGGAGGCATTTTCTCAATTGAGAGTCCCTCCTTTCAGATAACTCTAGCTTGTGTCAAGTTGACATAAGACTAGCCAGCACACTATCCTATCACTCTCCCTCAGATGTGACCTCTATCTAATTCTTATTCACCACCCAACTGGCTTATGCACATTCTGTCTTGCATGAGAAAGAGAGCCTTTAGCAACTCATTCATCTCTAACCTCAATGTCTAGGATATCAGGAACTCAGCAGTTCATGAGTGGATGAATGAGAACAAAGAACTGTGATTTCAACCATTTTCATTTCAGACAGCTCTTAAGAAATAAATATATTGTTTTAACCTTTTAGCTTGCAAGGAAATATGATTTCCTCATAATAGAAGACGATCCTTACTATTTTCTCCAGTTCAACAAGGTATGTGATCTTCTTATATCACTATTGAAAGATCATTTGGGATAAGTTATTAGCTGCATTGAAAGTGAACCTGACTTGAGTCAAAGATACTTCTTGCTCTCACAATGAACTTGAATACATAGTTAGTGCATTCTCTATAGTTTTCCCATCTTCCAGTCTTGCCAGTTTTCTTCTGTGTATTAGTGCTCCTTCTAGAAGTTAGTTCCCTTTGGAAGAGTAGCTAGTTCTCTGAAACATGCATTTAGATGAGCAGAGCCCATCAGGCTGGTGGTGCTGAACTCCAAATCCTGTTTCACATTACCTCAGACATCAAATGAGGGCCATGGCATTGGTTTTGTTGGGTCCGAAGCCTCGCAATAATGGGGAACAGACCACCAAAGTTTATTAAACCAGAAGCAAACTTTACTCCAGAAAAATTAAAAAATAAATAAAACACCATGGGACACAAAGGCTTATCAGCTAGCTGAGACCACAGTCAGTGTTGGAATTCTGAGACTGTGGCAATGGAGGCAAGTACCGGCCCCCTTTTATATTATCAGGCATGGGGTGCATTCTAGGAGTCACATAGAAACATCAGGCATGGGATACATGTTAGAAGTCACATAGAAACAACTATTAAAAGTTAAGTTTGGTCCAGGCAGTTGTGGACTCTAAGGGGCAAGGAGGTTAACAGTTAACCCCTGGCTGTTGACAGAGGAGCTGGCTGTAAAGCAGAGAGCCGTTGTTAGCAGTTAACCTTTGGAGCTGATGACTGTCAGTTTTTACCTCTTAAGCTTGTAATTTTATGTTTCTATATTCCTGGGCCCTTCAGTTTCATTTTGCATTTCACCTTCGGTCTGGTGATGGTATCTGACTTGAATGATAGCTAAGGGGGGACAAGATGGTGTTCAAGCTAAAGGGGACACAGGGCTGTGCTCAGTCAATGCTCTCCATAGATACAGAAGCAAGCCCGGAAGCCACATAATTGCACCCTTGTCACATGCTCCGAACCTTATCTGAAGGATCAAGGGTTTTTTTAAGTCATCCTCACTGTAAGCGTATGCTACATTTCATGATAACCGTTTTCTAGCAGGCAGTTGTAGTGGTACAGGCTGAACCAGTACATGCCCTCAGGACTACAGACAACCATCCTACACTTGGATTCAGTTCCTCCCTTTACATCTACTGAGAAGACACAAAACTTCTTTGCTGCATAGTTTTGCAGAGCTTGATTTGCCCTGCCCTCCCTCCCTGAGCGTGGACCATGAACCCCTTTCTCACTTGGTCCTACTTTCAAAGAAAATCTTAGTGTCTGTAGGGAAAAGCCGGCTCAGGAACCCCAAGACCACCTTGGGGTCAAAGGAGATTTATTTGCCCTAGAGGGACAGAGGGCAGGGAATAGGAGACCAGAGACAGAAGATAGAGAGTGAGGAAGAAGGGGAAGAGAACAGGAGAGATGAGGAAGGAGTGTTTGTCCTGGGGCGTGGGCAGGATAAAAGAACTGCCTCTGGATAGAGTGGAGACAGATGTGGCCCATAAGCAAATGACAGGTTACAAAGGTAAAGTGGGAGACCCAGTGTTACGATGAGGTATTCAATTTTATTGGGCATGTTAATTAGGTGAGCCAAAGGGGGCTTCGGATTGCTGGACTTCAATACTTTGATAGCTGGACCTTGATAATCAGCCTCGGCAGCAGAGATTGGCCAAATAAGGGAACAGACCTAGGGACTTGCCTTAGGAATGTCATCTAATGGTTTTTAGCAAGGCAGGAGGACTCAGAGAGAAGGACGAGGCCTGCCAGAGCCGTGTTGCCATGCTCAGGATGGCTAGAGTCCCTTCAGTGCCAGCATGCAACATTAACTAAATTTCTCACCTGCCTTCGCATCAGTTTTTATCTTTCTAGTCAGTTCCAAGGATCACCATTGTATCTGAACACCACCAAACAGTGCTGGTCATCTTATCTGAACTCATTTCTCTTGGGTCCTTCATCTAAATCTAATAACCCCAGATTTCAGTCCCCGGGGGGCAAGAGGGCCTGTTGGAAGTTACTCCAGATTCATAGTAATGATATCTTGAGCCAATACGGAGAGCTTTGTGAGTGTATTCAGCAGAGAAACCCTGAGGTCAGGCTGACGCTAGGAAAAAGACATACATATTACAGGTCTGAAGGCCTGGACAAAGGGAAGACATCTCTGCTGTGTGTGCCCAGGCTGTGACTGTGACTGCCTTCTCCACTCTGTGCAAAGCAACCTTTCCCTGATCAGAGTTTGCAAACCAACCGTGGTTTCCTTCCTATTTCAAGCCATGGGTACCAACCTTTCTCTCCATGGATGTCGATGGGCGTGTGATCAGAGCTGACAGCTTCTCCAAGATTATCTCCTCTGGGTAAGGCTCGCATCTCTAACATGAAGCTAGCCTCAAGTCTTATAGTTCAAGAGCTTCTTCTCATTTAGAAGGCTTGTATTCCATTTGCCTGAAAATACACTTGATCACTAATAGGCATGTAAGTATTTCACCTGCGTATTATTTTTACAATGAGTATTACGATTTCCATCCAGTGTTCAAAGATGCTTGGCTAGTAGTCTACATTGTGGGAGGAGGATGAGCAGTTTGGAAACTGATATTAGAATATCATGTTTAGAAATTCTTAACAATACTTGTATTGTTTTATCATACATACTTAAATTTAAGTGTTTTGGAGGTAAGAAGTAAGTACTTTGATTAGAATATTTAAGTCATCAAGATCTATTTGCCCCTAGGTCATGACTCTTTTCCTAGTGAAATCACCAAAATGCGACACAGTACTTGTTTATGTGGGATTGGTATAAAGCCTTTTCTCTTCCTGTGTAGGTTGAGAGTAGGGTTTATGACTGGCCCCAAGTCCTTGATAGAGAGGATTGTTTTACATACACAAGTTTCATCACTGCATCCCTGCACTTTCTCACAGGTAAGCACTATTTAGGGTTGTTTGTTTGTTTGTTTGTTTTATCAGAATCAGATGTAGGCAAATAAGATTGACTTAAGTTGACAGGGAAGAAAAATCAAATGCGGAATCTCCATTTTCAAGACAGAATTAGCAGACCAGCATCTGCAGAGGTTTAATCTAAGCAGCAAATGAGAAATCATCTAAGCTAGTGTCGTTATGATGCCTGCCCAGGGTCCTTACGAATCAGGGCATACTCATCTGGGTCTCTGGGAGAACACTCAAAGTCAGTCAATTAATAAACATTAAAAAAGAGGGGCTGGAGAGATGGCTCAGAAGTTAAGAGCACTGGCTGCTCTTCCAGAGATCCTGAATTCAATTCCCAGCACCCATATGTTAGCTCACAGCCATCTATAGTGAGATCTGGTGCCCTCTTCTGGTATGCAGGCATACATGCAAGCAGAATACTATATACATAATACATAAATAAATCTTAAAAAAAAATAAAAAACCTATGTAGAGCTAAACAAAATAGAAGTGAATTTGATGAAGTCATTCAAACTTAGACTTCATTGTGTTGGAACTTATAATGATGTGAAGAAATCAAGCCTGTTCAGTGTCTTCCTGTCATTCCTCAGCAGTTCATCAGAAAGCATTTTAATTAAAATAAAGTTAAGTAGGGAGAGTGTTTGAATTTCCTCTCAAGCTTTGAAAAAGAAGTGGGTTTGGAAATTATTATAGTCTTGACAATTAGAGCTTACGTACATGCTTGCATTTGTTCATGCATCTGCACACGTGTGCACCTGTGTGTGCAGATCAGCGGCCGGCTCCAGAGGTCTTCCTTAATGGCTCTCAAAGTCTTTTATTGAACCCAGAGCTCACCTAGTTGGCTAGACAGGCTGGTCAGTAAGCCCCATGGATCCTCTTGTGTCCAGTTCCCCAGGGCTGGGGTTACCATTTCCTGCGGCTGCGGCTGATTTTTACTTGGATAATCTGAACTCAGGTCCTTGTATTTGAGTAGCAAATACTTTACTGACTGAACCAGATCTTTGGCCCTCAAAACAAAAAGTTTATATCTCACAGCACACACACTTTATGTTGAACATCCTATAAACATCCCCGTGTTTTACCGAACAAGGAACTTTTCTCATATTTTTATACCTTATCAACAAAAGTTTATTATAACAGTTAGAGTTCCTCCGTCTTAAATAGAAAATCTCTCAATAGTTAATAGAATATACCTGCCATATATGTTTAGAGGACTGAGGACTAAGGATATAGCTCAGTGGTTTAGTACATACTTAGCAGTCATTCGGTCTTGGGTTTGATCCCTCACACCACCAAAAAGGAAAGAAAGAGAATATTATATATGTTTTCAAATTTGCAGAGGCATTCTAGTCCAGAAGTCAATAGCACGGACCTAGAGCTGGAAAATTTGTCTTAGAATCCAAGCTCTATGATCAGTTGTTTGACATAAAGAAAATTAACCTTTCTGCTTCAGTCTCCTTATCAGCAAAACAGAACCAATCTTCTTTAATTATTATGAAGGTTCAAATACTCAGATCTATATTAATAGTCATAATAGAGCCTGGCACATAATAAAGCTCTGTATTCGAGGGAATTTTTGCTTTGTTTTTTTTGTTTCTGTCTTGTGTGTGTTTATGGTCATTTGTATATGCATGGGCATGAATAGGCCAGAGGTCAGCATCAGTTGTCCATTTATTTATTTGTTTGTTTATTTTTGAGACAAGAGCTCTCACTGAACCTGCAGCCTACTCACTAGCAAGCCTCAGGAATTTCCCCTGTCCCCAACAACCCCCCACCCCCCCACTCCCATCCCCCCACCTCCCCCACCCCCACCCCCCACACACACTAGAGTTCTAAGTGTACACCATTATGCTCAGCATTTTGCAAAGGCTCTGGGGTCTGTACTCGGGTCCACATGCTTCTGCAGTAAGCATTTGATTAACTGAGCCTGTGTCCTGTTGTCGTCCTGGTTTTTAATGGGAGTTTGTTGAGGTGACCGATATGAGCCTGGCTCCTTGCTGCATCCTTCTGTGTGTTGGTGTGCAAGCAGAAGTGATTGCCTTGTGTGTTTAGAAAGTACAACCTTGGTTTTGAGAATGAACTCTTGACGTTTTGACTGTCCTGTCTTTCAGCTAATGATATCACAGCTTCTGTACCAATGGGGAGAAGAGGGCTTCCTCGCTCATGTTGACAGGTACTGCGTCTGCTGTTAAGATTTTTGTGAGCACAATAGGAGCCCAGAATACAAAGCACAAACGATCCTGAGTCCTGATTTATTATTCTTCCTTCTCTTGTAAAGATTTATCTATATTTCGCTTGTGTATATGAATGTTTGCTTGTATATATTTGTGCACCACGTGCCAGCTGCTTGGGAGGCCAGAGGCAGACACTGGATCCCCTGGAACCAGAATTACAGACTGTTGTGAAGTAGTTAGGAGATGATTATACACTGTCAGGTCCGGGCAGGGAACCCTACCCGGGTCCTCTGCAAAGCAGCAACTGTTCTTAGCCGCTGAGCCATCTCTCTGTCCCCTTTATTCTTCCTTCTTATATGTCCAAAATCACACACACAAAATAGTCTCTTTTAGTTGTTTTTCACCTAGAAAGAAAGTCTTCTCAGCAGCATTCAAGGTCTGGCCTGAACTACTGTCCACCCACACCAGCACCACAGTGATTCAGGTTAGGGGTCACCGTTTTAGCTGAAAAACCATCCACACACGTAAACATTTTAATGGGTAATCAGCTAAGGACCTGGGAACTGGTTCAAGTAAGACTGAGTGAAAGCGCACTATGCCATTCAGCAAGTCATGAATTGCTTTTGTTATATAAATGTGGTATTTCCCCAGTCACGCAGAAACTGGTCCCTGTTCCTAGACCAGTGACTCAGCGTTTCGGTACAGCTGCCTTTCATCTCCTGTGTCCTCCTTCACTGAAAGTGATGTCACTTCAGTCAACTAAATACAAAGGTCTCTCCTGCTACTTCCGCTACACCTAAACTCCATATTTTATATAGAAATGGATTTTGCTCGATTAATTTTTATTCTTTAACCTCTCTATAATAAAGGGGGAAAGAATTTTTTTTTTAAAGTTTTTCAGTACACGTGTCAAAGCAATACTGTGTTCTCTTATGAAGCTCTTCTTGTGTCCATGGGCAGTGTTCTGAACTCATAATCCTTGTCATTGTCTCCTAGAATCATTGACTTCTACAAGGACCAGCGGAGTGCAATATTAGCAGCTGCAGACAAGTGGTTAAGTGGTGAGTGGAGAGCATCTGGCATTAATATAAATATCAACAATAGCATCTCTACAGTGGATTGTTATGCCCAGATCGCAGAGACCCCCAGAAGACCACCATAGAGACCGAATCCCGCATGTAAAAGCAAAGAGCCCTTATTTCAAGCTCCAGAGCTTGGTCCCTCTGTCTGTCCGACACAGCGGTGAGAGCAGAGAGCCCCGGACTCAGGTGGGGCAGAGTTTTTTATCATAGCAGAGGTTAGAGTGAGGGGATTTCCAGGGTCCAGGACCCTGATTGGCTGACAATTGTCTAGGGGTATCTGTAAAACAAAAAAATAGGTGTGTGCTAGATTTAGGGACATCTGGTCACCTTATCTAATGGTTGGAATGTTTGGGATGCTAGGATCCCTGGGTGGATCCCTGGGTGGTATCAGTGAAAGGCTTTTCCTGGGTCTGGGTGTTGCCTGCCAGTAAGCCTGTCACAGAAGCTGTGTCTAGGCCCCTAAGCCTGTCATGGCTGCTGTGTGGTCAAGCTATTTTGGGGCCCCTTCATAGGATAACAGACAGACACAACATGTGACCAGTCCAGGTGTGGGAGAGACAGTAGTGGAGGTGCTTTCTGGCAGAGGAAGGGCTGCCCAAAGGATAATCAAGTACCATGTTGTCAACCCTTGGGTTCTATCATCTCCGCCATCATACTGCAAGTTTTTTGTTTTTTTGTTTTTTTCTTTAAAAGTCAGGGTCTCATGTAGCCCAGCCTGGCCTTGAACTTCTGGCCCTCCTACCTCCAGTTCCCAAGGGCTCAAATTGCAGATGTATACTACCATACCCAGTTTATGAGGTGCTGGCAATGGAACCTGGGTCTCATGCATTCAAGGCAAGCACCGTACCAACTGGGCTACCTGTTGACAACAGATTTTGTGGTTCTAAGAAAACTACAAAAAAAAAAAAAAAAAAAAAAAAACTCAGTCAAAAAATTAACCAGCAATAAATGTTACCTGCGGCTGAATAAACCCATCTTCAACAGAAACTTTCAGAAATTTAGTTGTTTCAAAATTTTGTTCCCAAAATACTTTGTTTCTAACTAAAAACAAAAACAAATAGTATAGTATAATTTCAAATTTGTTAAAATCCTTTGCCTTCTATTCATTAGCCACAAATATTTGGTTAATATTTTCTATTGTTGCTTCAAATTTAGGGTGTTTTTTAATTACGGAAAGAAGTCAAATAAATTACCCGGTTTTAATTATACCATTAAAAGTGCAAATGATGTAAAGGTTAATAAGTCAAAAATATCAGTGCCTTGTGTCTGTCACCTATCATTCTCTGTAGAGTTTTCACTTAAAACAGAACTATATCTGTATGATAAGAGTGCTTTCCTGCCGTTTTGTATAGGAGTGGTAACAAAATATTAATGGCACGATTTTTAAGTAATTAAAATCAAAATACTTGTCCTTTCTCCTCAGTTTTTCTGTCACCATATTTACATGTAAAGCTTGCAGATGCAGCTGGAATTCTTGGATTTAAGTACTTTTATCCCAATTAATTACATTTCTGCAGAAATTAACCCATCTGGGCAGCCAAACTATTACATAAATAATAGGATTTATGAAGTCCAAGGAGACTCCAGGAAGAACTGAAGAATTAGCTTTAAAATTGGAATAGCCATTTGTCTTAGGTGTGAGTGTGAGTCTTTAACTGCGTGACAGAGAAACATGCTGCATTTCTTGCCCTCTCTGATGACTGACAGCACCCTCTGCACATGGGAACTGCTGTCTCCCCATGTTCAGCCTCTGACCCCAACACTGAGTTCTTTAAATAAACCCAGGGCATCAGTTTGGCCATCTTGTCAAATCATAGCTTTGAGACGCTTTCACAGCAACCAATTATCTAGAAGCACTTATTTCCAATCTCACTGCACCTGTGCTGTTGGGACTGGAAGTTTGGTGTCATCAGAAATGTCTGGAAGATGCTGTCTCCTTTTGCTCGTAGGTTTGGCCGAGTGGCACGTTCCCAAAGCTGGGCTGTTTCTGTGGATTAAAGTAAAGGGAATCCCCGATACAAAACAACTGATAGAAGAAAAGGCTATCGAAAAAGAGGTAAAAGTGGGAGGGGACCAGCAGGAAATGTCTGCTACTTCTTTGAACTAATTTTCTTCAAATAGAATAAAAAGATGTTTTATGGCCCAGCCACTTGTGATGTTGGGATATTAGGTATATTATCTCATCATTAAATTATAATACATTTTGAAGTTACCATTCAGATGGGCTAAATGGATAGAAATACAGTCATTCTCATCAGTCCCCAATTTCAGACATCCTCCTTGGTTTCGATTTCAGAGTCTCCCCTGACCACGTATGTAGCTTTGGGCATCTTATACTCCTGTGATTTACTGAAAAAGACAGTAAGAGCCCTTTCCTGGGCCAGCAAGACAGCCAGGCAGATAATCCTGGTGCCTTGGGTTTCTGTTGCATGAAGAGACACCATGACCATAGCAACTCTTATAAAGGAAAATGTTTAATGGAGTGACTTACATTTTCAGAGGTTTATTCCATTATCATCATGGTAGAACATGGTGCTGGAGAAGTAGCTGAGAGTCCTACGTCTTGGAGGCAACAGGAAGTGGACCGAGACACTGGGTGATATCTTAAGCATATATATATGAGACTTCAAAGCCCTCCTTCACAGTGACACACTTCCCCCAAAAAACCTCCAAATAGTACCATTCCCTTTGGGGGCCATTGTAGCAGGCTTTTTTGCACTGCCAGCCCCAAAATCATGATACAGAGATTTATTATTAATTATAAAAGTTTGGCCTATAGCTTAGGCTTGTTTCTAACTAGCTCTTATAACTTAAATTAACCCATTTCTATTCATCTACATGTTGCCACATGACTCATGGCTTTTACCTCTCCTCCTGTATGTCTTGTCCTCTCTGCATCAGGCTGGTGAATCTCTTTCTTTTTCCCAGAGCTCTCTGTCCCCAGAAGTCCTGCCTAACCTCTTCCTGCCTATCTAATGACCATTCAGTTTTTTTTACTAATCCAGTCACAGTGGTGCGTCTTCACACAGTGTAAAGGAATATTCTGTAACAGGCCATTTTTGTTCAAACCACCACACCTGGTAAGCAGGTAAGGCTTGCTGTGCTAAGCCTGCCAACTGGCCTGAATTCAGTCCTGGAACTCACACAAAAGTGCAGGAGAGGATCCAACTCCACAGACTTGTCCCCACACCACCACACGCACACCATCGCTTGCACACCCACACACATTCACTCATTCACTCATGGGGAATCCTGCCCCATCAAGTCCAAGTCCTGGTCATGATTAGCTGGCGCCTGTGTAAACTAGTACCCGTCACTTTGATATGCACACGGTGAATGCTTGGGAGTCAGTCACCGTTAGTACTGGATATGGAAGGACTTTTTTTCCTGAGCATGAAAATAAACTATGCTCATTGTAAGAAATTTGGAAGATACATTAAAAAAAAATAACAAAAATGAAATTCCCCATCATTTTATTACCCAGACTTTATGAACATCTGTGTTGTGTTTTCTACAAGAGCTTGCATATATTCTAACTTTTTGACTAATTATTTTATATGACTAAAATTAAAAAGAAAGTAAAATTAAGTCATGCAGGTTTTCATTTTCCCTCTCATACTTAAATCACAAGTTTTCTTAACCTTCACTGGTAGGCACTGAGGAAACTCAAAACTCTAAATGAAATTTTCTGTACAGCTTTTCAGCTGGCCGATTAAATTGTTCCTTCTCCCCATTTCTTCCTTTATTGTGTTTATCGGGTTGTCTCTGTAAGCCCTGAGATCTGTTTCCAGAATCACTTTTGTCTAGATTGTGACTCTAAAAGAACAGATTGGGTTGACAGTGGCAAGACACCATGCAGGTACATTAGAGACAAGTCCTGCCACAGTTAGCTCCAGAGCTAGACTGCCCAGGTAGGACTTGTGTTTTGCTCATTCTACATATCCTAGTTGCTACACAGAGTAGGTACTTCATACATACATGCATATAGCTTCTTTCAAATGAATTCACTTTAATATACTTGGTTAATTTGATTTTTTCTTCAGTTTTATTTTTTTTTCTGTCAATGCCATCATTATTATTAACTTTTGGTGTCTGTTTGAATGCATCCGTGAGCCAAATGGGAAGGATGGAGACTGATATGGTATTTGCTTTTTTACCAAACCCTACATCTAATATATAGACATATATATATATATATATAGACATATAAATATCCTGGTGTGGGCTTCTTAACCTATTCTAAATAATCTCCAACTTCATCACCAATGCCTTAGGCCAGGTTTGGATAACATCCTCCTTCTCTTATGGGTCTTGACTTCTAGTCCATCTCAAAACAGTGGGAGAAATGATGGCTTCCACATTTTATAAATCAGGATAATGAAACCCACCTTCTGCCTAAACTCTTCCATGTAGAGTGCACTGTTATCATTTCAGCTTAAACTCATCTGGCTTCAGCAAGTGGTACCCAGATTTATAGATTGTAACAACAATTGCGTACTGTTTTTGAGGACTAATGGCAGTTGCTGTATAAAATATAAACTCTGAATCTTAAGACTTAAAAACAATAGAATTTATTTCTGACTCACCTAAAAATTAAAACCATGGCCCCGGGACCTTCCACCTTTGGCCTCCGGTCTTAATGTGTTTTCTAAGATTGCTACAAAGTGGAAGGAGCTTACTTACATCCATTAGTTAAAATTTAATAATGTGACCCATATAACTATGAAAGGACTCGGGTGCCAAGAGGCCACAGGGCATGCTGAGAATGTGTGAGGTCCTGGGTTCAAACCCCGGCATGAAAATGAGGATGAAAGGAGGGGAGGAGGGAGGGAGGGACGGACAGACAGATGGATGGATGGACAGACGATAGAATGGAGATAGAGAGACTGGAAAGGGAATACAGTGTATGTGTGTCTAGGATGAAGAGGGAGTGAGTACCCAGTCACTCCCCTGTCCCTGCCAGCATGGTCATAAGAAGAGCAGTTGGCTATCCTCAGCACCCCATCTTGACACACTTATTAACATTTTTATCTACTTTATGCATTAAACATTTGCACCCTTTCAGTTTCCTTAAATGTACCACTTTCTTCCTATCCCAGGGCCTTTACATTTCAAAGTTTCTCCCTAAAAGACTGGTCCCCACTCTTCCTTAGGCCAATATCTAGTTGTCTTTCGGGTCCCCGTTTGAAATCTCAATGTTTGCGTTTGTATTAGTTTTGTAGACAGGTTAGCCACTTATTCTTACTGGACCGTGTCTTTCTAACCTGTCCTCTTTACCTTGAAACTTAAATGTTGGTGTTTTCTTCTCACTTTCTATGCATTCTTTACATGTGGAGAAGAAACAGCATTGGTCATATTGATGGTAAGTATTTTTCCTAATTCTATGCACTTAGGTTTGTCTATTGCATGCCATATGTATGTTTGTATGATATTTTTGTTCTCTGTTGTGATTTATTACTTCAATAATGGCTTTTAAGCTTAAAATATTCCTACCCACAGTAATACTACATTTCTATAAATTTTCTTTTAGTTTTTCTTCAGTGGTGTAACCACGTGTTTTCTGCAACCCTTCACAGGTCTTATTTGTTCCTGGAAATGGTTTCTTCATCAACAACTCAGCCCCCACTTCCTTCTTCAGAGCGTCCTTCTCTCTGGCTAGTCCAGAGCAGATGGATATAGTGAGTATGCTCTTTAGTCACACAGCCTCCTGGTTCTGATGTTGGATGTGTGTGTTCACCTTGTAAGTGAGAAATGATTTCATGTCTTCTTACACTTCTGAAAGCTGGATTTTAGTGAACCAGTCACGAACTGTCGCTAGGCATCTGTAGGCAAATGAGACTAACCTAGAGTTGAAGTTCATCGTCTTTTCGAGTAACAAGCCAGAACTTACTGAACTGTAGTGGAGGGGGGGGCGGGGTCCAACAGGTTCTGGGGCAGTGCCTTTTCCTTCCTTCTTAGAATCACACAAAGGAATAGTGAAATCGTAAGCCACTGGCCTGCTTCTCTGACGAAAAAAGGACTAAAAAGATCCTACAAACTGCAGAGAAACACAAAAGGAAAAGTTACTAACCAGGCATTGCCTTTGACCTTCAGAAGAGTGTGTATGTGTGCTGGGACAGGCCACATGCGTGTGCTCTCTTTACTTCAGAAGTGTGTGTATGTGTGCCGGGACAGGCCACATGCGTGTGCTCTCTTTACTTCAGAAGAGTGTGTATGTGTGCCGGGACAGGCCACATGCGTGTCCTCTTTTTACTTCGGAAGTGTGTGTATGTGTGCTGGGACAGGCCCCATGCGTGAGCTCTCTTTACTTCAGAAGTGTGTGTATGTGTGCTGGGACAGGCCCCATGCGTGTGCTCTCTTTACTTCAGAAGTGTGTGTATGTGTGCTGGGACAGGCCACATGTGTGTGCTCTCTTTACTTCAAAAGAGTGTGTATGTGTGCTGGGACAGGCCACATGTGTGTGCTCTCTTTACTTCAGAAGTGTGTGTATGTGTCCTGGGACAGGCCACAAGTGTGTGCTCTCTTCACTTGCTTCCCATGCTACTCACATGCTGTCCATAAACTTGCTCTGCTTTATATATGAACAGATTTGAGCAGTCCAAACTGTGTTATATTTGTAGATGAGAGGATGTATGAAAATGCAAACTATTTATGCTGTGAATAAAACAGAAAATGATGCATGAAAGTTCTAATAAAAAAAAATCTGGAAATTTGGATAAGCCTGGTGTATGAATCTGGAAACTTGTGTACTTATCCACATCTCAATGGCTCCTGAGGGCATTCTGCCCAGACAAAGCTGTTGTCAAACTTACTTTTCACTGTGTCTCACAACTTCGGGTGGATTTTCTACTAAAATCTCCAGGGTGATGAAAGAGTTTCCCAAAGTAACATCCTCATTTCATCAATTCTTATCTCTTTCCTGTTTTAGGCCTTCAAGAGATTGGCCCAACTCATAAAAGAGTCTACATGAAGAAATCAAGCTAAGCATTATACTCATAATTTTTATGTAAGTTATTTCTGTACTTTGCTGAAGAAATAATTGTTGCGCTTTGACTGACGGAATGGATCCAGTTCATGAAAAAACACACGTTGCCTCTGTGTATCTGCAGCAATTTAACTAAACAACTTTAAAGTGCCTTTAAGTCCATCATATTGCCAAAATATTTTTCTGATCTACTTTTGCCTTTTGATTAATTTTCAACTCACGAAAGATTAAATTTTATTGTAAAGAATGATATAGCTGCTTTATAATGTCCAATAAATTTTTTCTTGAAATTAACATAGTGGGCTGAATTGTTTTCAAATTTCAAGAAAATCAGTGAAAATGGTACACAGTGTACAGTTTTTTTTTTACTCTGACAAAATTTCATGAACATTTATTGCAAAAATTGTTGTAATTTGACAAGTATAAATGACTTTGTAATTTGTGGTGCCAAAAAAAAAAATCTCTTTAAAATTAAAATTCTGAAACTAAGTCTGCCAAAAGGAATCATACATGTTAATTCCAAGGAAGAAAGAGGAAATTGTGGTCTTAGAACACTTTACTTGTTTTCATGGTGCTCCATAATTTACAAAAGCACAATTTGCAGATGTTGTATAGCTGATATCTCCTTCAGGCTCTAAGGTGTTACACTGATTACTTCTCTAGCTGGGAGAATGGAATGAATAAATGAAGTGAACTAAAGTCTCATGCAATAGTCAACTTTATTCAGACAATTTCTACTCTGAGTGCTGTGGGATGGTCTGTATGTCAAATGTGTTGCTGATTGGTCAATAAATAAATCACTGATTGGTCAGTGGCCAGGCAGGAAGTATAGGCGGGACTAACAGAGAGGAGAATTGAGAGAACAGGAAGCTGGGTGAAGGAGACACTGCCAGCCGCCATCAGGACAAGGAAGATGTAAAGTACCGGTAAGCCACAAGCCACGTGGCAAGGTATAGATTAATAGAAATGGATTAATTTAAGCTGTAAGAACAGTTAGCAAGAAGCCTGCCACGGCCATACAGTTTGTAACCAATATAAGTCTCTGTGTTTACTTGGTTGGGTCTGAATGGCTGTAGGACTGGCGGGTGTCAGAGATTTGTCCTGACTGTGGGCCAGGCAGGAAAACTCAAGCTACATCTGAGGGTTAAGAGGAGTCACCTGAGCAGAATGTACAGTCATGAGGGGCTCGTGTGACAGGCAAAACAAACTGTACATGGCAAAAAAAAAAAATTCCAAAGAAGCATATAAACAAATAACAATAGCCAGTTGTAGTGAATAATCTAAAATAAACTCATTCCTAACTGCTACACCTGGGAGATGCACAAAAGCATGATCTAAGAACAACTGTGTGTTTTTTAGGAAACTAAGGTCTTATTTTTTTGGCATTTGTCATAAGCACTCAGAATTCTCTTCACATGACTCCGTTCGTGGACCAGGTTCTGACATATTTCCCTTTTTCATTTTTTAGTAGTAGGATATCTGAAGTGGTTTTGATTTGAGATGTAGTAGATAAATCTAATTGTTATTTGATGCATGAGTATCCTATAAGCAAGCAAATTATAAATGTAATGATTAATATTAGGACAGTGAAAGCATCGTGTGTAATACTCTGCCACCAAGAACATAGATCCAAACTATGTCCAGCACTTTTGATTACATCATTATATTGATCAGAAAGATCTAGAGAATAACTTGAAAAGAGACCTACATGATTAGTAGTTCTGGGCTCTTGTAGAACATAAGCCCATATTTCCCTGTTAATGTGAACACAAATGTTATGATGAACTATGCAAAAGGGAAGTGATTCAAATCCCAAGGAAAACTTAAATGTAGTCCCTTCTTTGGATGAATGAATGAGTCTATTACAGTCCCAAGGCCCAGTCACAAACACAGAGTCATCAGTAAAGATAACAAGAGTTGGATCCATCCAATCTCCAAGCTGAATCAAAGAGGATGAGGAACATGAGACCAATACACATGTTCAGGCTCTCACTGCAGATGCACAGGTCAAAGTCACACCAGAAAAAGACTCTCAGTTGACACAGGGCTCTGTGTGTTTTGTAGAATGACTTCTCATTTGGAGCTTAGAGTTTTAACGTGGCCCCAGGAGAGTAGACTTGACTTCTGATGATATGGTCCATATCTCCTTTGCCTTTTATCTGGAGTTTTCTATCTTTCTGATGACTTCCACTATCTCCTTGCCCTTCCACCATAGTCCTTGACAGCCTAGGGCTGGAGGAGCCAAGCAGGAATCCATAATGTTTTGGTACATCCATCTGCAATGACGGACGCATACCCCCTTCCCAATTTTCTTCTGGGGAAGTAAAAATAGGGTAGGTTAATGCATCATATTGCTCATTTCCTACTGCAGTTAAACCAGGGAGGTTAGAGTGTGCATAGTTATGAGAAATAAACAAAGGACGTGTGCGGGTTTTAGCCAGATGTTATATTTAAGGGTTTATGAATTAACAGTAATAGATGAATCAAAACAGCTAGTTCCACCCGGTGATCTGAGGAAAAAGAAATATTAATAGAGTGTTGACTATCTGGACCATGAATCCCTCCTGTACCCTTAGATGGCCCATCCTCCTGTACTATAATACCTGCAGGAGACAGTTTGGTGGGTAAAATAACTAAGTTTAAAGGCAGCAGAATAGTCACACAACACACAAATGCTTTCTTTGGTCTGCATTCAAATAGCTGTAGTTCTTCTCCTGCCTCTCAAGGTGATCTGTGAGGCCTATCCAATGCTACCTTTCCTCCTGCAGTTGCAAACAGATGGGTTAGCGAACTGCAAACACCAAGTGCAGCTTATAGGGCCCGGGAGGAATTGGGAAACGAACTCCTTTTTCCCTGTGTACCCTAGCTTGTCTAGGTTGTAAAATTAGCTTTTTCATAGTCCTCGCCAAAAAGTGGAGAGAATCCAAAATTAGATGGATTATCAAATTCCTCACCTCACTCTTCAGGGTTATTTTCAGGCACTGGTGATACATATCTAAAGGAGGCTCGTATAAAGAAGCTGAGAGAGTCAATGCCAGCACAATTATCAGTGGTCAGGGCACTGCTTTGACTTTCAGTTTTTCGTGAAAAGGGATACCCCCTTGTCCCTTGTTACCAGTTTTAAGGTTTGATCATCCAGATTATATTCCTTCAAGGAATTAGCCACCTTTTCCTCATGCTTAATATCTTCCTTAAAAATTTGGTAACAGTCCAAATTAATGCCCAGATGTCTTAGTTAAGGTTTTTACTGCTGTGAAGAGACACCACGACCATGGCAACTCTTTAAAGGAAAACGGTTCATTGGGTCTGGTTTACAGTTGCATAGGTTTAGTCCATTATCTTCATGGTGGCACGCAGGTAGACATGGTGCTGGGGAAGGAGCTGAGAGTTCTACCTCTCGATCCACAGGTCGCAGAAGTGACTATGGCCCACACTGGGCATAGCTTATAGCATATAAGACCTCAAAGCCCACCTCCACAGTGACACACTTCCTTCAACAAGGCCACACTTCTCCAACAAGGCCACACCTCCTAATAGTGCCACTCACTATGGGCCAAGCATTCAAACACATGAGTCTATGGGGGCCATTCCTATTCAAACTATCACAGCAAGTGACCCAAAATTAAATGGAGACCTTTCCCCCCGGTTTATATGCCTTTTTCAATATTCTTTTGGACTCTGTATTCTACTTCTTCATCTAAATTTCCTCATCCTGGGTACCAGGAATTATAAACATGAAATCTCATAGTTATGATTTTGGTACTTGTGTTCCTCCTTTCTTTAAAAATTACGGACAAGCTTGACATGAAGCAAAGCCTTCCCTGGGTTCTACACCACTATTCTCACTCACCCCCTACTGGGAGCATCCCCACTCTCTTATCTCATAACCCACCTCAGGTCCCTGTTCGGGTAGGCGTCACTTGTTTATCACTCTAGTTGGTGGTGGGACCCGAGAGAGTGGAGTGGATAGAGATGAGGTGGACTAAAGTCTCACGCAATAACCAACTTTATTCAGAGCATCAGACAGTTCGTTCTGTGAGAGTCAAGAGGAGTCACATGAGTCACATGAGTAAAGTGTCCAGTCACAAGGGCGAGCCACGTGTGGCAGGCAAACCACACGTGGCAAAAAAAAAAAAAAGGTGTTTTTCCATAGAGACATAATCAACAAAAGCCAGTTGTAATGAATAATCTGAGGTAAACTCACTCCTATCTGCTGCACTTGGGAAGGGCCACAAAAGCATAATCCAAGAACAATTCCAGGTTTTTGAAGAAACTGAAGTCACAAAACTCTTGTCTTGTTTTCTTAGAGTTTTCTCACAAGCACTCCGAATTCCCTTCTTGGACCGTGTTCCAACGTCACGTAATTTTTAAATAATTTTCCTCGCTTCTAAAAACATTTTCCCATCAGGTGGGTCATGTATTATCCTCTTGAATTTATGAGATTTCCAGAAAGGGATGACATGAACCCCACTCCGTGTCTCACCCCTAGTGAGCGCAGTTCCCTGACTTGGTCGCTCTTCTCCTGTGTTTCCACAGGGACACCCGAGAGAGCAGGAGCCTGCTGCAGTGTGAGCGCTCCGCGTTCATCTTCTGTCACTACTGCACAAGGTACCCCAGGGTTTCAAGAGTGTGAAGACTTTAAGAAAATTAAAGATGCTAGAAGATGAAAAGATTTCCCCTGCTTGAGAATTAGCAGAGTTAATGTGTGAAAATGATCATACTATTGAAAGTAATGCACACGTTCCACACACGCCCCATAAAAATGACATAATTACAGAACTTAGAAAAAATGACAATTCATATGAAGCAGAAAAGACAGCAGGTGGCCAAGGCCATCCTAAGAAAAACAGCAATGCTGGCGCAGCACAATACCCAACCTCTGGCTACGCTATAGAGCCGCATCACTGTACTGTGGTACTGGCACGAAAACAGACACATAAATTGATGTCATAGAA